ATTCTCAGAATGATTTATACCTAACTCTTAACTGTTAGGACCAACTTTCTATTCTTCCTGGCAGTTACAACTTGTATTGCCCTCCAGGGCAAATGGGAGATTGAGATGCCTTTACCAATTTTTGGCACTGGAGAAATGTCTGACCTTTAATAGCCTTTATCTTTTCCTGAGTAAGCAGGAGAAAGTCACTGAGATCAATAATTGATTTTTGCTTACTTAATTATTTTTAGAGAAGAGATGACTATGTTTCTGGAATCTAGCAGTTGTTTTAGGAGATGGCATTAAAAATTATAGGAACTAAAGATGAGTGCAGAGGCAGTGAGGGAGAGTTACGAGAGCCACTTTCAGTGTTCCAAGAAAAAACTCAGGTTTCTCATCAATGAAAACTCATCTGAGGAGGCTTTTGTTTCCAGTAAACTCAGCCACAATCATGATTGAAAAAGTGAAATTAAGTTCATCGTACAGTTAGTCAGGAGAGCCCAAAGTGCTCGCATTCTTTCAGAGAGGAGCAGTATCATTTCCACAGGTCCTTACCAAGTGGACTGGGATCTCCAAGGGCCTTGCCACAGGGAGCTTCATTCTCATAATACTCATGCCCCATTCCCAGAGGTTACAGAATGGCTTCTGCCACTTGAGGCTATGTTTTCTGGCTCTTGTGGGCAGTATCTTTTGTTAACATGATTTCTAAAGAAAGTTGGAATTGCTTTCTCCCTGGCATACCACACAACTTCTCTCTCTATCACTGTGAACCATCTTCACAAAATATAACCCGCATATTTTCAGCAGATACTGAACTTCTATGTGTGGATTTTCTAGCTTTCGGTACTTGCAGCTAAATGTGCTCTTTTCTGTACACAGAATCCAGCAACATGTCTCAGTTTCTGAAGCAAGTCCCAAAGGTGATACAAAAATGATAAGGTATTTCTCTCTATGCTCTTTCTTAATTGCTCCCTAAAGAAGAGCTAAGGGAGAGGGCAGAGAGATTTCCTGGGTTTATACTGATCCCTCATACTCTGGGATTGCTTCATCGCAGTGTGGGACTCAGTGTCTCTAACAGAACAGTCTTTTCCTTTCCCTCATTGTCATCATCTTCAATATAGAGACTATTTTAATTTGATTAGAAATTAACAGTTCAGTATACGGGACAAACCAGCAGGTGAAACATCCATACACATAAAATAATTAAAAAGTAAATTAAAAATAAAATTATATACCACATCTAATGCATGTGTAATGTCTTTTTCATGCTTTTTTATTTATAAAATAATTTGATTGAAAATCTTCTGTCTTTCATTGACATTTTTCTCACACTGTCTTTAGAGTCATTTGACTTGCTTTTTTCAAAGTATTACGTTTCATATTTTTTTATTTTTTTCCTGAATCTCATATACCCTAGGTTGGCCTTGAATTTACTATATAACCAACCATGACTCTGAATTTCTGCATCTCCTGCCTCCATCTCCCAAGTCCAGGGATTAGAAGTATACATTGCCACAGCTGGTTTTTATCATCCTTACTTCTCTGCTGAGGTTTGGTCTTTTGCTTGTATGTAATGCTAAGTGCAGGCCCCCAGGTCTGCACATACACATAGACCCAAGTGACTCTGTGACCTTGCCCCCAAGTAATTTATGATGGGTAAATAAAGATGCCAACAGCCAAAACCTGGGCAGATGAAACATAGGTGGAGTTTAGGGTTCAAAGCCTTGGGAGTCAAAGAGAAACCACATGGGAGAGAGAAAAATCTGAAGCAAGAGAGAGAAGCTGCCTGGGTTAAGTGAGTTCATGAAAACGTGACCCCGAAGGCTGGTCAGTTAGAGCTAAGAGCATCCCAGATGAAACATAGTAATAATAATTCTGAGTTACAGATAGGAAATAGATTTTAGTAGCATAGAGGGTAGACAACTGCCCAGCTCTTGTGCTATGTAAGACATATTGTAAATAATAAAACTTCTGTCTCTTTTATCTTGGAACAGAATGATCAAAGATGGGGTAGAAACTCCACATTGGGATTA